AAATCTGGAGAACAAAACATATTATGGTTTTGCTTTGATTTGACAAAACGTAGCACTTGCTGAGACCCGTTTCTATTGAAAAGACTACAGCTTTGCTTGCCCCGGGATTTCAGAAAAAGATTGAAGAAGGCAAAGGCAAGCTAAGATGCTGCTCAATCAACTGCAGAAAGATGTGACGGTCCAAAACGGCAAGACCACCCAGTTCTTCCAAGTCCTCGCGGGATGAAGGATCAGCAAAGAACCTTGGGCAGCCTGGAGCAGTGGATGATGCATGTGGGACCCACCCAAGCTGAATTCTCCCTTCTCTAGAAATCTCCAGGTCCTCAGATGGCCAAGAGCTATTATTAACATGCCTCATTTAGCAGAAAAGGAAAGGTGGGTGGAAAACAATGACTGATGAAACTGACTCAGAGCAGGCAGACAGCTCCAGCCAGCTCTCTTCTCTCCCCAAAAGTAAAAAATCCCACTCATCATTCCCATGATTTAGAGGATGGTAGAACCGTTTCTTTTGCACTATTTAAAATTAGATTTCTGAATGGCTAAGAATATGTATCCATACAGTCGTGTTTCCATTTTACGGACAGAGCAGAAATCAGGGACAAAGCTCTGAGTCTTGCTGTTAGTTGCCTGACCCTAATTTGGCTGAAGATGTACCAAAATGTGGCAATTTTCCATCAAATAGGAATGTGTTGTCGGTGCAAGAAGTGACCTACGATATAGTTAAAGAGTCACCTAAGAAGAGCACTTTGGAGTGAATTTTCCCACCTCATTGTTCTCATTTCTGTTTTGCTTTTTCCTGGAAGTCCAACCTAACTCTATTGTTGTTTCAAAGACCCTATTTTAAAATGAGCCCAGGAAATAGGTAGGGCTAGCTAGTAAAGAGGCAGCTACGATCACTCTCCGAGTGGATGACTTTTTTCGCAGACCATCATTTGGTGGCTCAGGCTGGGACCCTGAGATCACCAGACTTTTGGAGCTTTGAGCGGGAAGGACCTTGAGGTCATCGCCCGGACTCCACCCAGCACGGGCATCCCTTTGGGAACACTCAGGTCATGGTCTTCCAGGGTGCTGGCACGCTGCCCGGGACAGGGTGTTCACTACGCCACAAGGCAGCTCACCCAGCTTTAGACAATTCTGATGGTGGGTAAATCCTTCCACACATTGAGCTAAAACCTGTTACCCTGTAATTGCCACTTGTTGGTCCTCTGGTGACCTCTTTTCCCTCATAGAGCAGCCTTTAAATATTTGAAAGCAGCCTTCACGTGCTGCAAGAATGACTTCTTACTTCAAATATCCCCTGGTTCTTTCAACTATTCTGCAAATGACAATTTTCTCATTTTCACCATCTTGGCTAGCCTCCTTTTTAAAGATCTGATGTATTTCTTGAGACAACATATTAGGTATTTTAGCTAATTAATCTTCTCTGTAACCTTGTGTGCTAAATAGTATCTGCATTTTCAGAAACAAAACTAAAACTTGGCAAGATATAAGATAAGACCACTTCTGAAAGGAAATGGGAGATGGAGGATTCAAAACCAGGTCCATCTCTTTCTAGCCCACCACATGCATCTGATTAAAAAAGAAATGTGGAGCCAGGTAGAGCCAAGACTGATGTCAGATACATTCTGAGATCTGTGGCAGGCTCTTAGAAACATCCCAAGAAAGTCAACATCCCTTTTGTTGCTACAACTTGTGCTTACTAATAGAGACTAATGTTAACTTGAGAGGTTAGGAAATGACCAGCAGAAACACTTGGGCTGCTCAAAGGTCCCTGTAGACAAGGTGGACGTGCAGGAAGCATGGAGGCAAAGAGATGCACGAGCAACAGGCAGCAAGAGGAATTCGGGAGGTCCAGGAGGCATCTCATTTGGAAACTTCAGATGATGAGGGAGCAAGATAAGAGGTTCAGAAAGGGAAAGAGTGGTTGCTTGAGAGAGCCTAAACAGTTCGTTTCAGACTGAGTCTGGTGGTTATGTCTGAAGAACAAATAGAAAGTATTTATTTTCTTCCAACTGTCCGCACACGCCATGCAAAGCCTGGGGACAAGGTACTGTGGCCTGCCTCAACATATATCCCATGTGAAATCCGGGTAAGTCACAAATCTTTAGGTGGGAAAAGAGAAAACCCATATGTAGTCAGAAAGGGAGTCCTTGTAACCGTGCCATGGTGAGGGTCAGTGTAATGGCTGGCTCTATGTCTACAGGCTTCTAGATTTTTCCTGCACCACTTGGTAGAGCTCCTTCTTTCCCATCTCCTGTCTGCCTTCCAAAAGCAGAGATTGCCTGAGGATGACACTGCCTCCCTCCTTAGCTGCCTTACTTCAAACCAGCTCCACACCCAACAACTAATGCCGAGTAGATTCCTCTAAGCTGCAGGGCACGGCTCCCTGGGAGCCATTGTCAGACTGTGCTCGATGGAAGGTAGCAAAGGACAACATTAATGTCTATGGCTGAGCACATGGGCATAGAAATAAAATGACTCCTTTAAGATCTCTTTGCAGGTTGACTCAGAGAACTACGAGCACTTCCCTTCAGATAAGCATGCAGCATGAGACAAGGGGAGGGCAGAGGCTCCCTGGATATCGTCTTCTTGTGAAGATACGCATTCATATCGTGCACTCATGAAGGCAGGGGCTTCTCTTCCTTGTAGCTCTCTGTCTTGTTCACCACTTGAGAAAATCAAGGTTCAGAGAATGGATGTGGATTTGCCCAAGTTTGCATGGCAAGTGAGTTGCAGGTACAAGACTAAATCCAGACCCCGAAGCACAGCCCAGCTTGCTTTCTACTCAATCACACTGCCTTCAAGCTTCTGATGTATTTACTTGGATGTGCCAACATTTATTAGAGATTAGACTTTTCAGTTTTCCTTACTGCTTTTTGGGGAGAAACAGGCTGGAGGATAATAAAGAGTGGGTCCCCTATATGGGAGGTGCATGGGGACAATACTCACCTCTGTGTCATTTGCGTTTCTACTCCTAGCGTGTAGCACAGTGCCCGGTATGTGGAAGGTGCTCAGTATGTATTTGCTGAAAAGTGAGTAAGTCTCTGACTCGAAGTGGTAGAGAAGGAGGGGCATACACTGGGAGAGGCTATCCACAAAGACTTAAAGAAATAGATTCTAAAAGCTATGTCACAGAGTAGATATTCAAAATATTTGGTGAAAAAATGAACCCAACAAAGTCTCATAAGGAGAGTGTGAGAAATGTTATAGGGATTGGCAATCTACTTGGATATCTCCAAACTATAGAACTCAATCTGGTAATTAATTTGGGTTCTTCAGACAATATACCTATTCATTCATAAATTCAACAAATATTGATTGAGCACAAGCTACATGCCCAGCATTGTTTCAAGCACTATGGATTCAGAAATCAAACACCAATAACTCCTCAAGGATGAAAATAACCATAGAAACCATCATTTAATGTACTAAGGGCTATGACAGAAGAATTTCACCAAGTGCCATAAAATCACAGACTTGAAGGGTACTTAGTCTGAGGTGGACTGGATGAGTGGGGCAGAGGGGGAGCAAATCAGGCTGCAAAGGTAGTTGGAAGGAGGAGATGAATGGAGGTATCCCGGACAGGGAGAACAGCACATAGAGACACCGGTAAGCATTAAAGCTCCCACATATTAGGGAAGTAGAGGGTATTCGGTACAGCTGGAAAGTCAGGTGGTGAGAGGTGAGGCTGGACAGGATGATAAGGAGCAGACTTGAAGGTCTTGTCTACCCTCATTAAGTCGGGGCTTCTCAAACTTTAATGTGTATGAATCACCCAAAGACCCGGTTAAATGGAGGTTCAGTAAGTCTGGGGAGAGGTTGGAGAATTTGCTTCTCTAACAAGCTGTCAACACACCTGATGCAGCTGATTCCAGGACTATCCTTTAGGCAGCAAGGCTGTAAGCAATGAGGCGCAATGGCAATATTTCACTGAGGAGAGCAACATTATTAGAATTGCATTTTCCCAAGAGCCCTATAGCAGATTGTGAAGGATGAAATGAAAGGAGACTGTGCTGAGGTAAAAGAACATACGTGGCAAGAAGTTTTGAGAATCTAAACTAAATAAGCAAGGGAAGAATAGCCAATGTTCAACAAATAGGTGTAAGTTGGCTGATATTCTATGAAGTCACAAGAAAACATTTCTCCTAGAAGAAAGGCTGGTTGTGAGGACAAAAACAAAACAATAAAAACATAAGAGGCAAGAAAAAAAATTCAGAGACATTTGTAGTATTATTTGAACAAGACTTGATCCCTCTCCAGGTCTCAGTCAACACATCATCTTGAGCCCCAATAGCGACCAAAACCAGCAACTTGCTAGGGAATGACCATCATCCCAACAGACAATTATCACAACGGAGTAAATTAAATCAGTCTGCTCAGTCATCACTTGACATACATTGTCACTACTTGCAATCTAATTTCAGGAAACTTCAGGGAGAGCAATTGTTTCATAGAAAATTCTGGAAAATAACATGGACGTCGACCAGATCCTGGACAAAGTGCTTGTTCATTTATTTACAACTCATCGGTACCTTATATTAGAAACGTTTATTTCTATTCCTGTTAGAAAATCCTCTGTCAACTCTAGTACATCTTTAACTGAAAGGAAAAACTCAGAAAGGAGTAAAAATAAATAAATAAATCGTGGTAGGGGTCTACAGCGTTGAAAAGAAATAGCAGGGGGTAAATTTTCCTTTCTGCAGAAGCCCAAAAATGCAACTTCTAATAAGATTTTCCCTCCAAAGACAATAAGAATCAGCTCATATTGTATGTCCCATGCTGGTTGGCATTCTTTATCCAAAGATGTACAAATTCAAAAAGCCCAAATGTCATCTCCCCTCTCATTCTTTTTCCTCACAGTCCTATAAATCGGTAAATCTCAACACGACATGAGTTGAAAACATGCAACCAACTAGAAAAGCCACATGGACGCACACATCTTCTTCAGAGCAGCTGGATTCACATTTAACAAGACAAAACAAAATAACGCAAGGACCTACCTTTCTCTTCTGTGGTGTGCAGGCTCCTGAAGTTTAACCCTGTGCTGGAGATCTTCCCAAGAACCTCTTATGTGAGACGTAGCTCAGTGACCTCCCATTCAATCACACAGCTACAGGAGGGTGGGGTTTCGTGAGACCAGACTTCAGATCCTCGGGGCTCACACCGACCTTAGGGAGCAGAGGTGAAGTGCCTTCTGTTCTCTGCTGCAGGAAAAAGCTGGGAGACACAGGGTGGCTGGAGGTGGGGGCGGAGGCTGGAGGAAGGGAAGTAATATGGGAACTGTAATAAGTAAGAGATCCTCTCCACATGATTTCCTGTATTTGGTGCCTGTTGCCTCTCTCCAGGCTCCCTAGAGGAAATAAGAAATTTAAACTTGTCCTTTGGCCACTGGAAAGAAGAGAATAAACATGCTAAGAACCTTGAAAAGGAGCATGAGCAGGGCAGCAGACTGGGAGGTGATGGGCCAGCGAGCTTTGCCTTCCATCGAGTGCTTTCTTCCTCAAGTTTCTCCAAGTGTTTAACTCTGCAAAAGTCAAGATTGCCCTCATCCTCTTCCACTGAGCTGAAGCATTCTCTGGCCACAGTCCAGATGTCTTGCTACAGAGCCGCTGGTGAGAGGCAGGTCAAAACAGGCCTGAGAAGAGTCTGTTCGCCAGCTTAGGGCAAGACCCTCTTGGCTCTGTCTTTGAAAACACTGAAGATGCTCTGTGTCTAATCTCGGAATAACTCCTAAAGTCCTCAGACCATTTGCCCTAGGGTTTAAAGAACTATCTGAAGGCTACCATTCATAGATTGCTGGAAGCAGGACCCTCTATATAATTTGTGGGGCTCAGTGGAAAATGAAAATGTAAGTCCACTCATTCAAAGATTTAGGATCTCAAGAAGGTGACAGCAAAACATTAAACCAAGTGAAGGGGCCCTTCTGAGTACGGGACTCTATGCAGTTGTGCGGGTGGTACATCCGTGAAGCCAGTCCCGGCTAGAGGAAGAAGGTTGGAAGGATAGGTGTGTTGGTTTTAATCAACTGAGTTCTCAAGAGGCCTGGACTATGGCCATTTTGTTCTGTGGGGTGACGGTCAACCCTTGAACAGTAGGGCACTCAGAAGCTGGTGCAAGGGAGAGAAATGCTGGATTGTGGGTGTGAGCAGGCACGGACCACAAACACATACTGAGGTAAAATCACCCCAGTGGTCTCCTGGCTGATTTCGGCTCACCTCCAATCCATTCCCTTCCTGTAGCAGAGCAATCTCTCACAAATGCAATCTTCATCCTATGATTCCCATGCTTATGTGAATGTACAAATTCAAAAGAACCAAACATCATCTCCCCTCTCACTATTTTTCCTCACAGTCCTATAAATCAGTAAATCTCAACATGACACAGATTGAAAATATGCAGCCAACTAGAAAAGCCACAGGGACACACACATCTTCTTCAAAACGCCCCTTTTGGTGTTCCTCCTTAGCAAACCGTGCTTATCTCTCTCGTGATACTCAAAACTCAAAGCGGTGAAGATCAGCCCACTTGTCCCCCGCCCCCTGCCGAAGACTCTGTAAAGTCACGGAGTGCGTCTATTTCAGCGTTACATTCCTAGCCCTAGGACCCAGGAGGGGGTGATCTGTGTAAGTTTAGTGTTAGCGGCAGAAGCATTATTAATTACAGTTATTCTCCTTTTTGGAAAAAGGGAAACAAATGACCCAGAGGAAAACATAAGCTTGCTGTTGTGGTTTTAGAGTTTAAACTCTGGCAGACAGAGTGGAGCAATTTCACAGGCGATATTGCCATGCTGTTGTTTAATATTTATCTAAACGCCACGATTTGTTGTGTGTTGTATGTTCTTGTTCTCGTAGGGACTATATTATGAGTAGGAAATGACCTCCGTTCAGAAAATGAAGCTTTAGACAAGCCAACAGGAAGGAGGAGTGAAATTTGTAAGAGTGAAGGAAAACGGTGGTGGAGGTGAGAAGAGAGAGGGGAGGAAGCAGGGCGTGCCAAATGGGAGAGTGGGGAGGAAAGGGGAGGGAGGAGAGTGGGAGGGGAATAGGAAGGGGAGGTAAAGACAGCAGGGAGAGGTGGGAAGAAGCACAAAGACCCAGCAACCCTTAGAAAACAGCAGGGTGAGGGATGGGAGGAGAATGACTACCCAGAGCCACATTTCCTCTAGAAGTAGTTTCTTCTAGAAACTGCTAGAAGTTTCTTCTAGCAAAGTCTAGAAGCCTGACTCCCTCAGGTCTTTGCTACGCTCCCTGATAAATCAAATCTGTGTTTTCTAAAAATCAAAGGGTAGAAGGGGATCAAGGGCCATGCCACAGTGCTGCTGTGACAACACAGAAATTAGCTTCTGCATTTTGCTTGGATTGACAACATTTTTAACATGACGTAATCATTTTTCATTTAACGGGTTTGAACACTTGCATCACAGTGTTACTAGTCGACTTTTTAGAGTGTGTATCCTGGCCACTTCTCTTGGTTCCTCTGAACCAAAAGGTCACTTCGTGTATGGATGAGGCTATATTTGGCTGGGAAGCCCCAGCTGAGGCTGTCTGATTGGAGTAGAAGCGACAGTAACAGAGACTCATAATCTAACGTCTATAAAGATAATCTAAATGTGCATGAGTCTGAATATCTAGTTTTTGCAATTAATTGTAACTTAATACATGCATATATCTGCAATAGGACAAAGATATTTATTAAACCGATAGTTTGAATTTTTTTCATGGAGTTTCAATTTTGTTCCTCATTAATGGATATTACTTCCATTGAAAATGGAATAGTCAAGAAATGTAGTGAAAGACTTTAAAGTGGGAGAAGGTGACTGCGTGTCCTGTCAACAGGATGTGGAGCTGACTAGCAGATCCTTTGTGAGGAGCTGAATCTCCAGGGGTCTACACCTTTGATTATCTTTGACTATTTTATAAATCTGAAAGATGTGGAAACTGACAGTAATGCAAATGATTCTTGTCCATAGAATACGAATTAATTTTCTCCAGTGGAGATGCCACTGATTTCCACCTTGTAGAAATGATTATCCAGACATTGCATTTTAGTGCTCTATAGGATATTAGCCAGTTTTGCATCTATTAGTAAATTCAGTCCAGCATTCCTGATTGTCCATATAAATACATCTGCTCTTGAGATTTTTCTGTGAACAGCTTCATCATCTAACCATCCACTCACTAATTAGTGAGTTAAATAAAATTTTGGTCACATGTTTATTTTATAGTCGTATGAGAGTGATGATTTTGCCTTTTTGAAAATGATCTTTTAACAGAAGTCAGGTGATCATCTGTGGATATGGTAAATTGTACTGGGAATTTGCAGTGGCAGAACTCTCTTTTCTTCAATATTTTGCTTAGTTTTATATGTTCCCTGAGTGTGTAAAATAAAAACAGGGAATAAATGAAGCGTGTTGGTTATCAAAGTAAACGATGAAACTGCCTCAGCTGCACAATTAGGAGGGTACAGAGTTTCCCAAGTTGGGGCAGAAGTATAGACAGAGCCCCAAGGGGGACTGTGCAGGGCTGGACATGGCTCTCCCAGCTGGGGTAAAGTGCGAGGGCCGGACTCACTCAAACAGGTCCCTTGGAGGTGAGAAGACCTTGATAAGCGAAGGGCACGTATTTCAGGCGTTCATAGGTCTTTACAGCAGTATTTTCAGGCATTCTAGCTGCATAGACAACCATCCAGAAATATCTTACTATCCATCAGCTGTAGCGAACCCTTCAACAAAGGGGATGGGTGGCACTTTGCTAGGAAGAGATCAGAAAATATCAATATCTTTGTGTGGTTAGATTTCTCTCTAATTTTGAAATTTGTTATATTTTTAATTGATGTGACTTGCAATATTTCTTTTTAATATCAAAGACATAGAAGGATTTATGTTTAAGGAACGGTCTGGTCAGTCAGTGCACTCTGCTTTCTAAAGCTCTTAGTGCCAGATAAGCAGGTAAACATAAAGCCTTTTTTGTTTCTTGTTTTACTTTTGAAATGAATTCGTTATTAATTCCATTATTTGGAGGGGAAAAAATAACATGCCTAACGGCTCCATGTGGAAGTTTGGATGTTTTCCTGAGAAGAATAATTCCTGACTTGGGAGGAATAGCGACTCATCACAGAGCAAATGCGATCTGTCAGAGGCTCAAAGATCACTCACCACCAACACGTGGCTCTTTCTGCAGGAGCTGTAAGGGAGGCGCAGTCCCACCAGCGTTGGCTCCACCTACGTTAGAGGTGAGGCTTGTCTTGTTCCATTAGCTGTTTTCTCTTTGCCAACTACTAACGTCACATTTGTCACTGAAGACAGAGCCCTAAAAGGGAACTAAGGAGTTCTATGATTTTCATTATTTCATCGAGAGATAAAAGGGAAATGTGTCTTCCATAACACAAGCCTGTCAAAGAGGGAGCACATGAGAAATATTAGTAGAACTGTTCCTGGGAACGAGAAAAATGTTCACAGTAAGTAAGACCACTATCATATGCCTCCCTGGAAAATAAAGATGTTAGGAAAAATAGAAGAAAGGAAGGAAGGAAGGAAAGCAAGCAAAAGAAAGCAAGAAAGACTCCAAGTGTTTTGGAGAACTAGGAATCCTCATACACTGCTGAGTGTTTTGAGGGGAGTTAGGAATTCTCACACTGCCGAGTGAGTGTTACTGGGTAAATTACTTTGGAGAACAACTTGGTAGTAATCAGGATAGTTCAAAATTCTGGTCAATGTATTTATTCTAGAGAAATTTTTGCCTATATATGCAAGGAGAAAATATAAGCGTGTTTGATTGTATCATTCTTTATCATTAATAGTTAGAATTCAAAGAAACATATATATGCATCAGTAGGGAAATTGATAAAAAAATTTTTGTATTGTTACAGGAATAGTGAACTAGATCTATATGTATCAACAAAGATGGATAATTGTTTTAAAAGTGAAAAAAAAGCCAGAACGAAAAACAGCCAGTTGCAGAAAAATATATACACGATGATATATAACGAAAAAAATACATAATGTAGTCCAGAAGAAGGAAGGTACGGAATAGGACTAAGTAGGGAATAAAAGAGAGTTTCCATTTTATTCTAAGCCTTTGGTCTAAAAGAAGAACCAAAAATGGCAAAATATCAATACTTTAACCTGTATGGCAGGTTATGCAGATACTTGTTTTTCTTTATAGTTTGTCTTTTGAAAAGGAAAAAAGAAAAGTCACTAAAATATTATTTTAAAAAATAGAGACATTTTGAGTCATAGATTAAACACATTCTTTTCACATCTTCCAC